AAAAAATAAATATAATAGATTTGCAAATCATGAGACACTCATTTTATTATCGTCTTACATGTCCTACTAGGCTGGTGGTCTGGTAAAATTCCGTCTGCATAGACAAAAAAAAAAAAAAACTTCAATAAAGCCTATTCATTGAGGTGTGTAAGCGGGCCTGCAGTCGGGTGATGAACAATGTTTATTGGGGTTGAAACGAAGTAGATATAGGCAAGAACGGTGACGTAACAGGTCACATGATTTTAACTAAATGGCCGGTGACGTCGAAGTGACTCAGCCATGCTACATCTCCCTTTTCTAAGGGAAGCAAATAATTACACTGGTCTTTCTGGTTGTGGGTAGCGGCAGGGTTCCCGGTGGGGCCTTGTCCTTCTCCGTAGCTCTTGAGCGAGCTGGGCATCGTCTAGTAGTTCGGACCAGTCACGAGGTCTCTCTTCAGGATGTGTAGGTGCGTCTCGCAGATGCTCGCGTGTGCGTCTAATTTCCTAGCCCTCTTCCGTCATCACCACTACGGAGCGCAGCGTCTCAGCTGGCCTTAGAACGACCGCAGGTGTCCAGGTCTTTTCATGGGTATCGTATGTAGTCACCCTCTGGCCAGGTGATAGAGGTGGCAGGTGCCTGGAGCGGCGATTGTAGTAGATCCTCTGGCGTTGGCAGATTTCCTGGAGACGGTTATGAACGGCTCGGTCGGACACAGTTTCCGGCACCAGGTAACTTGAGGGTACAGGCAGCAGGGTCCTCGTCTGCCTTCCCATCAGTCTCTGCACAGGGGATTTCAAAACAGAATCTCGCGGTGTATTACGCCATTTAAGCAGAGCCATGTGGAAATCAGGCGTTCCAAGAGAGCACTTCTTTAATAGCTTTTTTGCTTCTTGTACGGCCCACTCTGTCATACCATTTGAGCGTGGATGATATAAGCTTGATGTTACGTGGGTTATGCCGAGCCCATATAAAATGTCTTTGAATTATGTGCTGTTAAATGGCGGCCCATTATCTCTGCACAGTTTAAGCCGTAATCCATGAACCGAAAAAAGTTCTGTGCACCAAGACTTCAGCTGATTAGCAGTGGTATGGCGAAATTTCCTTATTTCAAAAAAGAAGGAATAGAAATCGACAATAATGGCAAACTGTCGGCCCCCGTAAAAGAATAGGTTTATTCCTACAGCTTCCCAGGGCAAGTTTGTAACCTCATGGCTCAAAAGCGGCATCTTTGCGTTTCGGGGCTGATGCTTTTGGCACATTTTTGCAGTTTCGACAAAATTGCTCTATGTCGCTTGCCAGGCAGAGCCAGAACATGACACTTCCTGCCTTCATCTTATTGGCTCCGGGGTGTGCGACGTGCAAAAGCCAATATTTCTGCTTTCATCGAACTTAATATGATCACCTTGTTGCTGGGAAATAGGAGCCCGTCTTGTGCGTGTATCTCCTCCTGATATCACCAGCATCGGCGGATAGCTTCTGGAACCTAGTGCTTCTTGTCAGGCCAACTAGTCAGTGCATATTCCCGCAGCTTGGAGAGAACGGTATCGTTGTTGGTTGCTGCGGGAATACTTTGTATACGGGGTTCCGAGGCTGAAACGAATTCCAGCACATTTACTTGAAACTGCGCAGTTTCCTCGCACATGCTCACTGTGCTTGGAAAACGCGACGAAGCATCAGCAAGAAAAAGATCTTTGCCTGGCTTATAAACCAGTTTGATCGGATAGCGCTGCATGCAAGTTCAGCCTCATGCGTTGCAAGCGAAGGGTACACTGATGCAGCGGCTTGTTAATTATTGGTACTAAAGGCCTGTGGTTGGTCTCTACAATCACTTCTGCTTGACCAAAAACATAGTCATAGAACTTCGTGCAACCATGTGCTATCGCCAACATTTCTTTCTCAATTTGTGCATAGTTTTGTTGCGCCTCTGTGAGCGACCGGGACGAAAAAGCGTTGGGGCGGCCGTCTTACATGAAAACTGCTCCGACTCCTAATTGGCTTGCATCAACCAAGAGAATGAAAGGCTTTTTAGGGTTGAAAAAAGCCAAAACGAGTGCTTTCGTCAAGGATTGACGCAAGGTCTCAAAACTCTTTTGCTGCGCCTCCGTCCAAACCCATGCAATGTCTTTACACAACAGTGTTTGAAGCGGAGCGGTTACCTCTCACATGTTGGGAATGAATCTCTGCACGAAATTCATCGTGCCAAGAAATACTTGCAGTTCTTTCTTGTTCTTCGGTTTCGGTATTCCAAGTATGTCTTGTACCCTCTCCGGATCAAGGCGTAGGCCTTCTGTAGTGAGTATGTGTCCCAGATACCGGACCTCCGGCTGCAGAAAGGCACTTTTCTTGGGGTTAAGTTGGAGGTTGTGCTGTTGACACCGGGATAACACAAGTTTTAAGCTGCAGTCGTGCTCTTCTTTAGTTCTGCCCCATACTAATACGTCATCCATCACAACCGCCACACAGGACAAGCCTTTCAAAACGCGGTACATTGCTGCTTGGAATATTTCTGGGGCCGAAGCTATTCCGAACGGCATGCGTAGGAACCGATAGCGACCATATGGAGTGCTCATGTGGGTGCAAAGTTTGGAGCTCGGCTCGCTAAGCGGAATCTGCCACAACCCTGAAGCTGCATCAAGCGTAGAAAAGAATCTTGCTCCGGCAAGCCTAGGAGCGACATCCTCTAACGTTGGCATGGGATAGTTTTCACGGAGCATGGCTTGATTGAGCGATGTTGGATCCAGGCAAATTCAAACTTTGTCTCCTTTAACAATAATAACCATATGGCTGGACCATTCTGTAGGTTCAGTTACCTTTGTTATGACGCCCTGATCCTCTATACGCTGAAGTTCCGCTCTAGTCTTGTCCTGCAGGGCCACGGGGACTCTTCGAGCTGGTACGACGACACCCACGGCGCCGGGCTTGAGTTTTATTTCATACTCGTAGTCCTTGAGCTCACCCAGTCCTGTGAAGACATCTGCAAAAGGTTGGGCTGGCTGGTAAAGTTGATCGTCATCAATGTGCTGTACCCGGTGGATAAATTCAAGGCGTTCGGCTGCTGAACCACTCAGAGTCGCTGGTACACTTTGCTCTATGATGTAGAATGTTTCGTGGACCACCCTCTTATTGGCTGAAAGCCGCAGGTGCACTTTTGCTTGGGCGGTTGCCTTGTGGCTAAAAAATGCTGTTAGCGTGACCCGGCAAGCCTGCTCTGGTGCAAGCCATGCTACAAGGTGCTACAAATCTATGTCATACGCAATCGAGTCAAACTTTTTTTCATCTTTCGTTGTGAAGAAATGTACAACCAGAACATGTTGCACTTCCAGTTAGAACATAACTGTGACCAGCAGCTTCCAGTTGAACTGGTGATGGTCCCCATTGGCGACCAGTTGAGCTGTAACTGGGACCAGCTATACTAACTGGAACGACTTACAAATGGGACTAATTGTTCCTATTGATTCCCAGCTGAAACCTGTTGAGCTGTAACTGGGACCAGTTACTAACTGGAACCACTTACTAACTGGAACCACTTGTAACTGGGACCAACTGTTCCCAGTTGATTCCCAACTGAAACCAGTTGACCTGCAGCTGGGACCAGTTGATCCCACTTAATGCCCGTTAAAACCATTTGGATTCCCGTTTGCACATTTTGACCTGGGGCACCTTTATTTTCCGAATTTTTGTACCAAACCTGCATATAACGAAATCCTCTTTAAAATGAATTTTTCCAAGAATTTATAAGTTTCGTTATATCTAGGTTTAACTAAATCATTTTATTGCCTATTTCATCGTTGCCTTTGTCCTTTTCACTTCTTAGCAGTAATACTGTGCAATATGCATGGTTATGACCTACTGTAGCCCAAATCAAAACTGAGCTACATGAGATTTCCGAAGTTCTACTTACTGGAAAAAAGGTCCAGGCAACTGGTAAAACTAGTCAAAAATGTGTTATGCAGAAGTTTATCTTAGATGCAACTTGCACTCGTAGTATCGATGTCACCACATGTCTAAAGTTGAGACTAAAACACAAGTTGGTCAACGCGTGTTTGCGACATGCTCTATGCGATAGCTGAGCAGGTATATTTTCAAGTTCTTTCTGGGACACGATCACTTTCGGGATATATTGCGTTGTGTTGTGCAGTGACTGTTACGTGTATAAGCAGACGTGAGCTTGTTAAGGCTCTAGCGTCAGCTCACATTGCATTGTTCTCGAGGTGCCGTGCGCCTGCTGGCTGTTTTGTTCGCTGACGCGGCGAGTTGAAAGTGATCGTGGGAGTGTACAAAGTCGTTCCCCAAATGCATTTAGGGTAGTATTTCAGCTCTTCAGAAATCTTAGCCACGAATTTCCATGTGCACAATGTGAAATAAACCGATGCACACGTGGCGCATTGTTTCGTTTGCTGCTACAACAGCAGCGTTTCTTTAAGTTTACGCTGGCTGTCCCAGCATTCGATTTTGCTATCTTCGGGCAGCTTCGGGTTGTCTCGGGTTCCCTACACATGTGACCACGACGCTGTTTTCTGTCCTGATCGGAACTAGCTGGCTGACCCTCTGACCAGCTCTGGCTGCCAGAGAGCTGCCAGAGGCCTGAAAATAGAAGACCCCCTATAACGAAGACTCCCTTAAAGAACTCTACCACATCACAGTCCCATACCTTCAGTAAATTGGCATACAAGGAGGGAGGAAAGAGGATGGCTCCCATCAACATTTCGCACCTTGGCTATGCCAGTGGTAATAGGCAATAAAAGCTCACTCTCACTGCTGCCTCGTTGTCTGCACTCTTCACACTAGCTGAAATTCGGACAAATGCAGGGCGGCTTACATGAAAATGCACATTTACGCTTTGTGTGAGACATAATTATGTGCAGATTTCACTGGCACTGAAACCTGCCTTCTATTAGCGCATTTTTAATAGGTATGCCATTTTTGTGCGAGTGGTATAACTTATGCCTTTTATACTCGCATATTCTTGCTTTGAGGTTTGTAGAAGCAGTGTTGACTGAAATGCTCATGTGATGCAGAGAAGTATCGTGGCCGGCTGTGTGATCTGCTGCTGAGCAACTTTTCGGGAGGCACATGGAAGGTGCAGCTAGCCATCATCAAGGCACTGCACACATTTGTGCTCAGGTAAGTTCTCTGGCGTTACCGTAGTTTTTCTAAAGCACAACAGCAAGCGGAAGACAGAAGCTTGCATTAAGTTTTCAGTTGGCCTTAAACTAAGCTTCGACCCACGCTTTCCTAACAGCCGGCTGCGCTGTCCTGTCTGTTCACGTGTCCCAGAAAGATGTACACAAGTTCTTTTGACAGAAATAGATTTTGCTAGTTGTTTTGATGACACGAAATTTTGAGAGATATAAATATGTTCACCCCTCTTTGAGACTCTCATCTTTTACTGTAGTAAGAAAACCCTACCCTCAGGTGTTCCACCACTCCAAGCTGGTATGACACTACACAACACTGATGATTACTGACTATCTTTACCCCCCCCCCCCTCCCAGCCTCTCTTTTTTTGGGGGGGGGATGTTTTCCTTTGCATTCAAAAATGAAAGGGGGGCAAATAATTCAGTGTGACATCCCCCCACTGCCCTTCCTGTTATGTAAATCTCCCAGATTCAGAAACTTTGAAATTTACAGTTATATATATCGGCAACGACCTGACAAACTTCTCATTTTCAAAACAGTAATTCGGCATGAGTTGATATGGTTTAGTTTTCCAAAACTGCATGGCAAATAAAGTTTTACTGTGCCAAATCACAAATAAATGAAGTGAAAGGCTTGTAATGCTCTTCGGTGCTGGCTTCTTCCCTTTTGTACAAGCGCTGAAGCTAGTGAAACTGAAGTGCAGACTAGATGTTAGATAGCAATTGAAGAGTGTTGCTTGCAGACGGTAGCAATATCCATTGGTTTATACGAGTGCAATAACCGTGCACAAATCGCAAGAAGTTCATTGTCTCTGCAAGAAGTCCATTGTGGTTCATTGTCTGTAAGTATAATTCATCCTTTCGGGCAAAATTATGATCCACTGTCTGGAAATGTGTCAAATTTGCATGGCATAGTTTCAAAGTGTGTGCACGCACACACAAACACGCGCGCACACACACACACACACATTGAGATCTAACAGACAATAATACCAAGGAATATATAGGGGAAGTTATTAGAACCAATGTAATGCGAATAAGAAGACAGAAAAGTGGGTGAAAAGATAACTTGCCGTGAGCAGGGCAAGTTATCTCACGGCAAGTTATCTTTTCACCCACTTTTCTTTCTTCTTATTTACATTATATTGGTTCTTATAACTTTTCCTATATATTCCTTGATATTATTGTCTGTTAGATCTCATTATTATTGTGTCAAAGCACGGAAAAACGAGCCCTTAGGTATACACTTCTTTCCCTTATATATATATATATCCACAAGTAGACACATTTAAGTCGCACGTCACCACCCCCTATACCATATCCATGCAATGCTACCCTTTAGAACAGCCGCTGTCGAAGAGGTGAAATTCACAGTGCGCATTAGTACAAAACCACGCTATATTCAGCTTCGCCAACTGTAAAGGTTGTGTGCAGGGCTACCCAGGATTTTTTTTTTTTTTTTTTTTTTTAGGTACGGGGAAGGTGCAGCAGAACGACTAACTTTGGCAATTGGTGGCCACTGTGAATACTTGTAAATATTTTAGTACTAGCCTGAAAAGTTAAACTACGAAAAAATTTCTAGGTGTAGGGGTTCAGGTTTCCTTCCTCTCTCCTCTTTGCTAACGGCCTGTTGGATCTGCATGCATTTTAAATAGTACTTTTTTTTTTCAATTTCAGAGCTTTCTGAGTGCAGCTCACTTCCAATAAATTGGCTCAGTTATTCTGTGTATTGTAGATGCCTAAACAACGAAGACAAAAGAAATCAGTGTAAGACACGCCCTTTCTGAATTATTTTCGATCTGTCACAAGGACTTTTATAGACCTCAAATTCAGTAGATTGGCGTGTCATACTTCAAGGGCTATGGCAATGGCATCATGAGCTAGATATGAATGATGGGCAGGTACGAAGAAATCTGCATCAAGAAAGCGCGACCGAGGAGCCGAAGCGCATAGCAGTTCATGCACGCGGCGCGCGGCTCTTTCAGTACTATTCGACTGCAGCGCCGTCACTACGGGCAACGTGGAAGGGACCAGGCAGCGAGACACGGTCACGCCACTCAACACTTCTAGTACACTCTAGTTGCGAATCACAGTAGGACAAACGCTATTCTAAAACTCATATGGCGCCCGCAGCGCTTGCAAACGGTATTCTGAAACGCCCTAATCTCGCGCAAACATAACCTCAAGATCCTCCCAATACGCAAGCATTTAATACGAATAGCATAGCATTTAATACAAATAGTGCATAGCATTTGATACGAATGCACCGAGTGGGTGTATGATGGTTATCAGCCAGGGACCTTGCGAACGGAGCAGTTGACGCAAAACAAGCCTTGTAATGCCACAAAGAGCGTTCAACAGCATCGCAACCATAGCCGCAGATGTCATATACAGCTTACCGCTCGTAACAATCGTTACGTTCATAACAATGGATGCTCCTGGATCATTTGTGGTATCTCCTTGCAGAAACACACGAAAGTTATTACAGCTGCATCGAACGGAACACGATATTCAAGCGGAGAACTCGGGTCTTCTCAAAGCTCACTAGCAAAGCGTCAAACGGCCCGGAAGGGAAATGGCCGTCGCCGCTCAATGTTGCCCGCATGCAGCCTACCTTTGCGGTACTCATAAATTTTTTCCAGTGACTCTACGCATAATGAGCTTCATCGATTTACACGTTCCGGACGGCTCCGGACGCCGGCGCCGCATTAGTTTTTTTGGGGACCTACTGGAAGCTCCGCCCACTGGTCCGGGATCACTCGGATGCATGTTCGTTTTTCGCCTGCCTGGCGGCTTGCGGGCGGCCCGGTACCACCCAAACAATTTCTTTTGGGCGGCTGGCAGACGACAGCGTGGTGCGCATACTGTGCGGCTATCTTAAGTTAGACACGGGAAATTTTCGATGCGCTACTCTCTTTTTGCTTTTCTGTCCGCTTCTCGCATGTTTCTGGATTTCGCATTGTTAGCGCACCCAGTTCTTGTCATCGGTGTTCTGAGCCACGTTGAGCAGGTGTGTATTCTGGAAGGTCGGGCAAACACTCATTATGCTCGCTAAGAGAAACAGCGGTGGAACGACCGGGCTGGTCTACGATGCGCACGCGATCGAGTAGTTCACTTACAAAAAGTTGCATCACAACAGAAATAGGTATAATTCACAACCTAAATGCTGTTTAGGTTGCAAATGAGTCAGCCTTGTGGCCTGTGTTTCAGCTATGGAGGGAGCAGACGGCATAGCCAGGCATAGTAGACGCCACAGCGGAAGCAGTCAGCATAAAGCGCGCAGATGGTTTGAGGCCGCTCGGGCTGGCTCGGGACTTCTAGATCACGTGCATGTGACGTAGCCACCTGTGAACAGTGGCGTCCAGGGGCCGTCCACGAGTGATCCGGGACTTGGTAAATCGGTGAAGCTCAATGTCTATTCCTCGATATAACGAGGTTTTTATATTCTCCGCCGTTGCTCCATAGAAGCACATGTATTTTCGTTCTTTACGTAACAAAGCAACAGCGGGAGACAACCGTGATATAATGAGTTTGCCCAACGGAAAATCTAAGACTTTTGCTCCGCGTTTTGTCATTTTGGTACAAGCATGCATCTTCCGCAGTTGCCTCATTGCTGATGGAGCGTGAAGCGGCGGCAGCGGGCACGCCGGCCGCGTCGACGTGAGACGGGCACGCGTGCCTGCACCCCATGAGCCTGCGCTGCAGCCGTTCTCGCCGCTGGCTGTGCCTCCCCCCCCCCCCCCCCCCCCCACTCATCAAAAAAAGAAAACTGGATGGATGGATGGATGTGGCTGTAACCTTTAGATCCGGCGGCGGCTAACGCCACCTAGATATAATATTTAGTGAACTAACGACTAGATTTATCTTTTTTTTTTTCTTTTAGATAGTGAAGTTGAGGACTGGTACTTAGAAGTGAAAGATTTAATTTTCACTCGTGCATTGACTTTAGCCATCAATCAGATAACCTCCCTGTAGTTAAATCTACTCGCTTAAAATTTATTTTACCCTCCCTGTCCCTAAACCCCAGTGCTTTGAAAAACTCTGCGCCATCATCCTGAACTAAAGTGTGAAGCCCTTCACAGAACATTATCAAGTGTTTGGCAGTTTCCTCCTCCTCCCCACATGCACTGCATACCGTGTCTATCGCTTCGTATTTAGCCCAATGTGTCTTGGTTCGCAATACTCCCGTCCTGGCCTCAAACAGTAGAGAACTACCCCGAGTATTATCATAGATTCTTTCCTTGGCTATTTCCTGCTTAAAAGTTTGATAGATCTCTAGTGCGGACTTAATCATGCCAACTCTCCACATGTCAGTCTCCGTTTCCTTCACTTTCTTCCTAACCGATAGTTCTTTTTGGTTTGGCCACCTGCTGTTTTCTAAGCATTTACTCCTCAGTTTCCTAGTTGGCTTCCTCCATTTTGTATCTACATTCTTCATGTACAAGTAGCTGAATACCTTCCTAGCCCAACGCTCCTCCCCCATTTCTCTCAATCGCTTCTCAAATTTTATCTTGCTGCTAGCTTCCCTGCTCTCAAATGATATCCATCCCATATCACCTTGTACTCCCAGATTTGGTTCCGCTTACTGATCGATTATTATTCCGCTTACTGCCTCTCTCAAAGTCTGTTTAGACTTCTGACCCAATGTCTTTATCAGCATAATTGGAATGCCATCTGAGCCTGTTGATGTACTACTTGGAACCCTCTTCTCAGCCCTTTCCCACTCTCGTTGTAAAACTGGAGCCATTGCACCACTTGATCAATCCTTGTCTATTCTGGTGCATAAAACACTTCTTTGTTGAAATTTTTCTGTCACCCTTGTTCTTATACATTCAAAAGCTTTGTCCCCTTCTAGCCTAGCACCTTGATCTGTAGTTATCAACCTCTTCTCTAGGTTTGTTTCATTTCTTAGGGAGTTTAGATGGTTCCAAAATTTCGCAGCTGCCTTTCTATCTTTTTTATGTACTTCTGCCAGCCACTGAGCAC